GGCCACCCCGCCCTGCCCGGTCGGGCCCTGCCCGCCGGCCGAGGCGCCCCCGAGCCCTGATCGCGCAGCCCACAGTCCGCAAACAAAGCTCAGGTGGCACCCTGGTCGGGATAAAACCAACAAGGCTGTGGGGAGACCCATTATTTCTGAGGTCTCGCGTCTGTTTCCACGCCCACCTTCGTCCGTGATTCTGTGAAGCCCGGGCGCGCCCCGGCGGTTCATTTTGCATTTTTAACGGGTTCAAAGCCTCTAGGCAGAGCTCGCCTTCCCCATTAGGTTAGGGCACGCGAAGCAACACGGCCTCTGCTGCTCTAGGAAAAGAGGCGTGGTAGGTGCCCTGTGTTTGTGAAGCAGCCACCCTTGGCCGACCTCTCGCGCCCACCCAACCGTGGCCATCCGCCTGGGTTCGGGCAGCGCCGGGACAGCCTCCGCAGTGGTCGGGGCGCCACGCACACGAACAATCCTGACAGACACACAAGGACTGCCTCTTGTTGGCCATCTGGACAGGTTCTTCAAGGACCCACAGAGTCTTCCCACCCTAGGGAGACCATTTAAAAGTCAAATGGGTGTGTAATTCCACAGACAGCTACTAATAAAGATTTAGAATAGTGGGAAAGCCCCTCAAAAGGCCCTGAAACCTTTCTGCCCAGCTCTATTCAGCCAGCCAGCAACCTTTCCAAGAACCCAGGGCACGCCGCCTCGGCATACAATAAGACAGCCCTTCCCTCCTCTCTTCCATCACCATCCCTATCGCGCCCCCCCCCCCACACCCCGCTTTCCTACCCACACACAGAATCACACCAGTTCAGAAATCTTGAAGGCGACCCCGTCTCGACAACAAACACGAGAGACACCCAACCACCTTTGTGCCCACCAAACACAAATGCAACCTGGCTGAGGGCGCGGATGGGGGGTAACACCTAGCAAGTCACGTTCTGCCAAGCTCCAAACACGCCATTTTAGACAATTAATCACTTCATTCCTCTGGTCTGCACAAGAATTCGCCAGGATTCTCCGGGAACCACCACTCTGCGGTGGAGGAAGACCCCATCTATGAGAAACTGACAATTTAGGTTATCGCTTTCCATTCAACTTTCAGACTGGAATCTGGCTACGCTCCTCTCCGCCAAATGCACCTCAAGGCACGACCAGGGAAGGAAGAGGAAGCGTATAGACTAGAGAAAGACACCAAAGAAATGACCAGAACCACAGGTAGAATTTACCTGCCCATTCGCTTTGGAAGGCGACGAGGCCACAGCCGCCTCCCCGGGCCTCTCCGCGGCGGCTTCTCCCTTCGCAGCGGTCTTGGAGAACTGGGCACCCATGCTGGCTTCTTCAACAAAGAAACTCAACAGATCCAAGGGGGGGAACAAAGAGCTTCGGGTTGGTGTAACGACGGGGCGAGCAGCAGCAACGGCAGCAGCAGCGGCGGCGGCGGCAGCAGCAGCACACTCACCGGAGGGAGGGGGGAGTGGGGGTGGTGAAGAGGACAGAAGAGAACCGATTAAATACACTCCAGATAAAAAAATTTTAGTCGAAGAGATCAAGAAGCAGGAGCGCAGGAGGGAGGGAAGAAGGGTGGAAAAGTCGAGCACAAAAAAAGGAGCCCAAGTGTAGTTTTTTTTTTTAAAAAAAAGAAGTAATAAAAAAAATCCCAGATTTGTAGCCGCACTGTAGACAAGAGGAAAATGGAGAAATCTCCCTGGTTGCTAATAAGATGCGAGGTCCAACGCCCAAGTGCACAGATGAATGGGCTCGCGGGCGCTGACGCGGCCCCCGCGCGCACCGGCCAATCCGCGCGTCGCACACAAAGCAGGGGGCGGGGCCTGCGCGCTCCGCGAACAATGGAGCCGCGCTTTGCAAACGGTTTGAAAATCAGCCTCAGACTGAGAATTAATGTCCTCCAAATAAATAAATCAATTAAAAATACATGTCTCTCGCCTCCCTCTGCCTGAAAATAATAATGCATTACTTGACTGGCTTGTTTTGTTTGTAATTAATTAACGCGGGGAGGGTACTTGTGGATGGGGGCGGAGAAAGCGTTAACTTGACTCCCTTTGACTCTTGTCGGTCTATATCCGTCTGTCTCTCGCCACTTGCTCCCCTCCCCCATCTTTCCCGTGTGTTTATGTGTGTGTGTGTGTATACGAGTTTTAAAGACAATGGATGAGATTTGTGTGCAGCATGTTTTCTTTCTCTGTGTTCCATATTGGTTTCAGAGATACTGCAGTGTTCGGTTTTTTTAACGGTTGCAAATGTGAAATCGCCCCAAATTGAAAGGTATTTAAACCAAGAAGATCGAATTTCATCAAACGAGATCGCGAGTTAGAATTAGGTCTGTAGGCCAGATGTGGAAAATGCAAAAGCAGCAAGCAGTCGAAGCCACACTCCCTTCCCTATCTCACATTGGCAGGAAATAAAATATTTCGAGATTGGCCTACGGCGCTCATCAACAACCCCCCCTTCCCAATTACTGATTTCAACCCCCCACAATATTGAGGGCCATTTACAAAAGATGGGAAAAGTTTGCATTTTATCACTGTATGAAATGACAATTTTCCTCTATAGTGAAATGGGACACAGCCTCGAGTGTATGAATCCATATTTACAGTTGGTATGCAATTCGCGTTGATATGAATCTTTTCCAGCCTACTGCCAGAATCGGATGAACTCTTTTTTTTTCTAAACGTGTGTGAGTGTGCATGCAAGTGAGTGGGCTCTTGGAAGGGAGGGAGGCAGCAGCGAAGAAACAACCGGACTATTACAGTTCTAAGGAAAAATTACGTATTGAAAGATAGCAAGAAGGTCCCAGAACGCTCCAAATCTAACTAATTTGGGTTAGAGAAAAAGCTTCTGTAAGGGCATCCCGGGGAACCTACATCTGCAACACTTGCCACCGAAGTACCAGACGCTATTTGTGCGTGAAAGACAACGCGCAGATTTAAAGAATGGAGGGGCGGGGGTAGGGGCAAAAATCAAGGATACAGCCCGTAATAAGCGTTCTCCTACTACCTACATTTTTGTTCCCACTTGTGTCCAGATCAGACTACCTTTTCTCGTTTACGTTTAGTGATCCTGAAATGAATAATCTTTCTCTTATGAAGGTGAGAAGCAGTCGCAGAAGTGGTTCGTTTATCCTGGTGCTGGCTCTGGATTCTCAAAACAGTTTTATTTTTTTGCTCATTGTAGGGAAATGGGTCACACTCTGAATGAAAAAGACGGTTGGTTCAAGCCAATATCTCTTTGTTCAAGTATTGCTTTGAAAATCACCAAGCTGCGATCGCTACATGAAGCATCGTCTTCTCACAGTCCACTTCTTCAGATGCATCATTCAATCACTAAGTCATATTCCCCAGAGCCGATGGAAAATGTTTCCGTAGAAGTGTATCTTGCCAAATGTGTTATAACCCTTAAGGGAGCCCGCTGGCCTGGCCCAAGACTCCAAACGCCACGATGGATGCGAATCCCTTGCATTATCGGAGTTCCAACTTAAAAAGCCAACTGGGCAGATCCAAAACCACCATCCAGGAGATTCTCAAAACTCGTTTAAACTGTTTATTCCCCCCACCCCAACGTGAATCATGCCTCTTCCTCTGCATCCCCCTCCCCCTTAAATTTGGGGTGATTGCTATCTCGTTTTCAGATTTTCTCCAGACATGTTCTTAGCCTTCCATTTGGGGGCTGCTTTTATTGCTCCTTTGTTACCAGGCTGCCGTGTAGCTTTCCCCCCTTTTCTTTCGCGAATGCCTATTTGCCCGGTACCGGCTTGTCTCCTTGGCAACGGGCAGGGACGATTCGGAGCCCCGCGCGAGGGAAGGGGGAAGGGGCGGAGCCGGCGGGGGAGGGGCAGGTAGGTGGTGGAGGGGAAAGAGACGCAGAGCGAGAGACAAGAGACAGACAGCGAAGCAGATGGCCGCGCGAGGGGGCGGGGCCCGGGCGGGGCGTGGGGGACCCCAAGCGTCGCGGGCGCGAGGGAGCCAATCACTTCCCGCAGCAGCTCTGGGGGTTAGAAAACAAGTGTAAACACAGAGATTCACGCCCCACGAGCGGTCGCTAGTATAGGGTAGAAAAAGATGATTTCCTTTCGATAAGAAAGTGCATTTCTAGCGTCGGCTGGAGAGCCGACAGTCCGCAGTCCCTGGCAAGGGGAGGAGGTTTGCGGGGCGCTGCCGGGGGTGGGGGTGGGGCTGAGCGCTGGGTCAGCCCCTCCCCAACCTCCCCCAGCCTCGGGCCAGCCACGAATGTGGGTGGTTGGGGGGTGAAGGCGGAGGACGGGTGAGGAAGGAAGGGGCTGGGAAATGCGAAGAGATTATTCTGCCTCAGGAACTACATAATGGCCGGGAAGGACCGCCAAACAAGACTGCAACCAATAGGAAGTTGTACGACGTAAGTACAGAGTTCGTCAGGAGTTTGGTGTTCTCACACCCAGAGCTAAAGGTTCCAAATAAGGCTCTAAGTATATAAATATAGTTATTTATATAAATATGATGAAAGAACCCATGGGGTCGTAGTGAAAATGTAAAACTGGTAAATACCTGTGACCAACTCACCAAGAAGGAAATAAGCATTTATTCTTTATTTGTACTCTTTTCACCATCCACTTAGGGTATTTCTAGGATGATGACAGTCTGTGTATGGTTTTCTCTAGAAAAAGAGCAATTTATTTAGGATACTTCAAAGTTATTTTTTCCTTTAAAATCGTAGCACTAGAAGGAATTTTTAGAGATATTTCTACAAATTCTTAAGGGCCTACTGTATGCCGAACATACTGATCTAGGCCTTGTTTTCACATCAGTGAAAAGAGAGATGCAATCCCTGGCCTCAAGGAGCTTACGTTTTAATAGATGGTCTACTTTAGGTGAACTGGATCATCTAGTTTCATTTCCTCCCTTACCAGATGAAGAAACAGGCCCAGGGAAGTTGTCAGATTTTGTCAGATGGTAGAGCCAGGATTCCAGGTCTCCAACTTCTTCCACTACTGTCTGGGGCTGTCTGACCTTTCCTTGATGTCACAGATTCACTGGACAGGCTAATTATTCATTCCTGAAGTGTTTATTCGGCTTCTGCTAAGTAACAGCAAAGGGCTAGATGTCAGCTGACAGCAGGGAAGGGCATGAACATGTCTTCCCTCTCCTGTAGCTTCCACTTAACATTATCTCTTAAAACTTCTTAGAATACGAAGAAAGGGAACAAAGGGCATGATTAACTGTGTGCTTAAAAAAAAACACCCAAAACAATAAAAAAGATGAGGACCACTTTCTAGATTCCAAGTTAAATATGCCTTTTTAATCAGAAAGCAGTCATTCAACATTCATTCATTCACAAAATACAAGATCCCACCCTGTGTTTATGGTGTTCTGCTCTGTTTTTTATCTTAGATTTTGTATTACCTTTATATTATTTACTTAATTCAGGTGATTGATTAGAATATAGTGTGGAACAAAACAGACACAGCCACTCATTCATTCAAAAGATACTTACCAACTTCCTAACATGTGCTGGGCAGTTGGAACTCATCAGTAAACAAAAGAGACAAGAAATCTTTATAAAGCTTCCATTCTAGAGTGGGGAAAAAAGAAAAATATAATATATATAAGTAAGCAAATTATATGGAATATTAGAAGTACTTAATTGTTGGGAAGGGGACTAGACCAAGTAAGGGAGTTGGGAGTGCAGGGTTGAAATTCTATATAGGAGGTCAGAGAAGGCCTCATTGAGAAGGTATCTTTTGAGCAGATTTGAAGAGTGACAGAGTTGTTTAATGTTGCTTCTAACTAGGAGGACAAAGAAAAGCCAGAATGGAACAAAAAGATCACAAATAGATATGTAATTGTAAATGATCATATGTGCTCTGAAGGGAAATACAGGGTGCAATAAAATAGTCTAATTTAGTTAGGAGGGTTTAAGAAGGCCTTCTTAAAGGAGTGACATTTAAGAGGAAATCTAAAGGTTGAGTAGGCATTAGCCAGGTAAGTAGGTGGAGAGTTGTGTTCAGACAGAGGAAATAGCAAAGCTTCCCTGAGGAGGGACAAGGTCAAGTGGGTTTGGGAGGAAGGTCAAGAGATTAGTTTAGACATATTTTGGGGTGCCTATAAAACATCCTAGTGGAAAAGTTAAATGTGCAGATGAAAGAGTCTGGAGCTTAAAAAGTGGTTTGGAATGTAAATACAGATATGTGATCATTCCATGTTAAATATTTTCTGAAGCCAAATCATAAGAGTATACAAAGAGAGTACAGAATCACACCTTAAGTGCCTTTTGCCTTAAAAGGCTAGGTAGATATTTGTCAATTATAGGTTAATAAAGCTGAAAATGTAAAATAACATAAAGCAATAAAATAAAAATAACTGAACAGAAAAAAAGTAGTTGGGTAGAAAAGGAGTCTAGCTGGCAAAGAAGACTGAGAAGGAATCCCCAAGGAGGAGACAGAAAACCAGGAGTGTGGTGTCTGGAAAATCGATGAAGACCGTGTCTCAGGGAGGGTTGGTTAGTTTTGTCAAATGATGTTGAGACGTCAAATGATGTTGATACATCAAATAGAGACTGAAAAGTTTACACTGGCTGTTGCTGGTTACAGAACTGCATTCTGTATACAGAATACAGAAGTTACTAGTTACAGACTCCAAAGCAGCTTTTGTCCTATGTGGAAAGTGGAATGCAGATTTAGTGTGCTGAGGAGTAAATGAGAGGTAAAGAGGATAATGGCATCAATAATTCCTTCTTCATGAAGCTTGACTAGGTAAAAAAAGTGTTGTCCTGGATGGAAGGTATTAGAGCAAAGTTGACTGCTTGGGAAATTAATCCAGTAGAGAGGGAAATGTTGTAAAAATAAGAAAGAAAATGAATAGTGAATGGAATGAAGTCCCTAAGAATACAGGAGGGGATAAAGATACAGGGCACATGCGGAGATACTACCTTTTGAAAGAGACCCTGCTCCTTTCCTGAACAGAGGAAGAAGAGGATGGCCAAGATTTACTGTTGGGAAGATAAGAGAGCTCCCTTCTGATGGTTTCTATTTGCCTTTGAAATTTATCAGCTAAGGGTAAGGAGAGAAAGGAGAGTTGGAATTTGATTATATTATAGAGGGTGTGGAATAATTAGTGGGAAGCATTGGATTGAACCTTTCGGGTATAGTAAGATTTTAGAGCAATAATGAGTGCCCACTTGAGGCTGATAAATCCCAATGATGCTTAACCAGTATATCAAAGTTTCTCTCTTACATAAACTATTTGTGTGTGTGTGTGTGTGTGTGTGTGTGTGTGTATTTTTGGGGGGGGGTGGGCAGGGAGGGCTGTCATTAAGTCTATTTCTTTATTTATAATTAGTTTTTTTTTTTAATTGGAGGTACTGGGGATTGAACCCAGGACCTCACGGAGGCTAAGCGTGCACTCTACCACTTGAGCTATACCCTCCCCGTCTCATATAAACTTTTGACTGAAAAATAGTATCTACTACAATCCTCCTTAAGATTACCAGTCATTTACTTTCCCAACCTATACCCAATTTGTTTAAACCTATACAGTCAATATCTGTACAAAAATAAAATATAGATTAAAATGGCTTTGCTCTTATAAAGCTCCATTTTAGTTAATCCTATATGATTTTGTATAGATACATATAAGCTAAATGGGGAAAGGAAGAGAACCTACTGGGTGCCAGGCACTGCACCGGGTGAGTCTGTTCTAGGCTTCTATGTCACCCTTACAACAAATCCTTGGACTTGTATCATTATCCCTGTTTTGCAGATTTGGAAATTCAAGTTCAGCAAGATTTGGAAAGTGAAATTCAACTAGTGTGTGAGCCATTGTCCATTGAGGGCTATCTGATTTTAGGAATCCAATAAGATCTCAAATGGTGGTAATAGCAAAGAGGGATCTTGTATTTTGTTTATAGTAGGAGCTTTATTATTTTTTAATTGGTACCATGTACCTAAACTTCTGTTACTTTAGACTTTGCTTTAGTCTTCTTTATTAACTATTCAGTACTGTAACACTCAAATAGAAAGATTCTTTCATAGTTAGAAAACATCAGAATCATTGTTTAACTGATCTGAAGACTCAAGAACTAACACACCTACAATAGGAATGAAGTTTCTGGAATGTTAAATCCCCTCCAGATACACAGGTGATTATTGCAAAACCACTAGAAGCATGAATATAGTTTTAGTCTCTGCTCGTCAAGCATATTGATTGAATTAGCAAGAGTTTTTATATTTGAAAAGATTACCAAAGGGTAAGATACACTCTAGAGAAAGATTTAAAAAAAAAAAAAAAGCAGCTTTTTTGAAACAGATTTGCCACCAGGACACGGGTGTCATGAAAACCACCACGAAATTTACGCCCAAATGGGAAAGGAGACTCACATCAACATCATGGTCATCAGACATGTAGATTTGGGCAAATCTACCACCACTGGCCATCTGATCTACAAATGTGGTGGCATCAACAAAAGAATCATCGGAAAGTTTGAGAAGGAGGCTGCCAAGATGGAAAGGGCTCCTTCAAGTATGCCTGGGTCTTGGACAAACTGAAGGCAGAATGTGAGCGCAGTATCACCATTGATATCTCCCTGTGGAAATTTGAGACCAGCAAATACTACATGACCATTATTGATGCCCCAGGACACAGACACTTTATCAAAAACATAATTACAGGCACATCTCAGGTTCACTGTGCTGTCCTGATTGTTGCTGCTGGTGTTGGTGAATTTGAAGCAGGTATCTCCAAGAATGGGCAGACCCATGAGCATGCCCTTCTGGCTTATACTGTGGGTGTGAAACAACTAACGAAATGGGTTCCACTGAGGTACCCTACAGCCAGAAGAGATATGAGGAAATTGTTAAGGAAGTCAGCACCTACATTAAGGAAATTGGCTACAACCCTGACGCAGTAGCATTTGTGCCAATTTCCGGCTGGAAGGGTGACAACATGCTGGAGCCAAGTGCTAACATGCCTTGGTTCAAGGGATGGAAAGTCACCTATAAAGATGGCAATGCCAGTGGAACCACGCTGTTTGAGGCTCTGGATTGTATCCTGCCATCAGCTCATCCAACTGACAAACCCTTGTGTCTGCCCCTCCAAGACATCTACAAGATTGGTGGTAATGGTACTATCCCTGTGGGTCTCGTGTGGAGACTGATGTTCTCAAACCTGGCATGGTGGTCACTTTTGCTCTGGTCAGCATTACAGCTGAAGTAAAGTCTGTTGAAATGCACCAGGAAGCTTTGAGTGAAGCCCTCCCTGGAGACAACGTGGGCTTAAATGTCAAGAACCTGTCTATCAAGAATGTTTGTCGTGGCATTGTGGCTGGTGACAGCAAAAATGATCCACCAATGGAAGCAGCTGGCTTCACAGCTCAGGTGATTATCTTGAACCCTCCAGGCCAGATCAACAGTGGAAATGCACCTGTGCTGCATTGCCATACAGCTCACATAGCTTGCAAGTTTGCTGAGCTGAAAGAGAAGATTGATCATCGTTCTCAGGAAAAGCTGGAAGATGGCCCCAAGTTCTTGAAATCTGGTGATGCTGCCATTGTTGACATGGCTCCTGGCAAGCCCTTGTGTGTTGAGAGCTTCTCTGACTATCCTCCTCTGGGCCATTTTGCTGTCCATGACATGAGGTTGCTGTGTGTGTCAAGACAGTGGAAAAGAAGGCAGCTGGAGCTGGCAAGGTCACCAAGTCTGTCCAGAAAGCTCAGAAGGCTAAATACCTGCCACCCCAGTCTTAATCAGTGGTGGAAGAGATGAGACCTCAGAACTGTTTGTCTCAATTGGCCATTTAAGTTTAATAGTGAAAGACTGGTTAATGATAACAATGCACCAGAAAACTTTAAGAAGGAAAGGAGAATATTTTGTGGACCATTTGTTTTTTTGTGTGTGGCAGTTTTAAGTTATTAGTTTTTAAAATCAGTATTTTTTAATGGAAACAACTTGACCAAAAATCTGTCACAGAATTTTGAGACCCATTAAAACAAAGCTTTTAATTAAAAATAAAAAGCAGCAGGGGGGTATAGCTCAGTGGTAGAGTGCATACTTAGCATGCACGAGGTCCTCCATTCAATCCCCAGTACCTCCTTTAAAAATAAATAAATAAATAAATTTAAAATAAAAAATAAATAAATATAAGCAGGGAAAAATAAAAATTTAAAGAAGTTTCCTCTAGACATTTTAAATCAAAGTTTATCCACAGTAGCATTTCCTAGACTTTGCAATGTTTACCCTCAAGGGACAGTCTGAAAACATTCCATATCGGCTTTTGAAAGAGTTGAGTTGTGAGAAGGAGATAATTCCTTCCCATCTTTGTTTCCAGAAGTAACAGGCAAGTAAATAAAGAAAAGCAATCAAAATTTACATTAAAAGAATCATGATCTTAGCCTTAAGAGTTACGTAATTAACTGGCCAGCCAGAAGAAAGAGTGGAAAATTCACATGGAGAAAAAGGTGACTTTACAGTGTGATTGCGTAGGAACCATGCAAAGGTTAATTTTTCATTGTTGTTTTGAAGTCATAAATACTTACTTAAAAAATATTAATAAGCATAGTAAATCCCTGGCTAAAGCATAAAATTATATTAAACATTTGTTTTTATTCCAAATGATGTAGTTTTAAAAAAGGTTGTGTTAACCTTTAGAAATCACTGTTGCAATTGATAAACTGACTAGGTTTTTATTAAACTACTGGTAAACCAGACCTCAGTAAGGCCTCCTCTGGTCCAAAGGACATTTCAGTGCCTTCAGCACACTGTGAGGCTTTCTGGTGGGATGACTGGGAAGGTCACGGACACTCATCTGCTCAACAGATATGTCTTAAGCAGCTACTTTATACCAGGTGCTGGGTGATAGTGCTTTGCCTGTGATAGCTCGTTGAACCTCCATAGTAATCTTATAAGGTACAAACCACTACTTCCTTTGTCTTCACAAATCAAGTCCTGAAGAGGTTATATAACCTGCTCAAGTTTTTGCTACTTCTAAGTGGTCTGGGCTGGGTTTGGGTTCTGAATCCAGCTCTTGGTGATTCCAAAGCTTGTGGCACTGTTTCCCTGGATACTACCATGCAGTCTTAGAGTAAGAATTTTATGGGATGTTTCCAGTTCTCCTGGAAAGAACAAAAATGCCAACAGACACTAAAAATTAACCAAAAGATATTCTACTTGATTTATGCACTGTGAGAGAAGGACCACATCTATAAAATGATAATTAGCATTCAAAGAATCACACACACACACACACACACAATCTGACAGATCAGATTCTTGAACCTGGAAACTTCCTTAGCAATTTTGTCTAGAATATAGTTGTCACAACTTAGATATTGGTATCAATTAATGAAAATATGGTTAAGTCACACTCAGAACTTACCTGTACCTTTTTTAGGGGCAAAAGTGTAAGTGTTGCCCTGAGAGCAGAATGAAGCCATTGGAAGGTAGGTAAAATAGGGTGTAGAACCAGGGAGAGGAAGTTACAATTTGGGAAGGACACCGAGGTATGAGATGTGGCTGGGAGGTGAGATCAGCGATGAGAAGGTGCAGACCCTTACAGCACTACCGTGAGAAGACTCTAAGCTTTCCTGGGAAGAAAGAGAATCACAATAGAGAATATAGAGGTGATGACAATGGGACATTCTTCCACTAAGTCTACAGTTGGAATTTGATTTACATTTTGGTTGGAAGTGTAAATACTTGTTAGGTTTAAAATTTAAAGCTGTTTTACATGTATTTTTTCATTTAACACTGACAGTAAATTTAGACACCTTAAGGTAATTCCTAATGATAAAAGATTAAAAGAATTTGCTCCAAGTCCTAACTATAGCTTCCCAGACCAGCCAGTAGCTTGTGGTCGACTGGGACAGGCAGGGACTTTCTCAATGCCCCATCCTGCTGTCTCTGCCCTTATGCAGCATTTTTCTTCCACTCCCATTCCACTTGGATACTTAAGAAAAAGACAGTCATGGCATGTTTCTAATTAATTTGAGTTTTATTCTCATCGCTTCAAATACTGCTTCTATGCTGATGATGCTGTAATCAGAATTTCCAGTCCTAACTGCAAACCCAAATTCCAGATCTGTAATTTCTGCTGTCTCCTTACTGGTCTGGGCATTGCTGTGTGTATATTTCTCACCACTCCCTCAAACTCAGGTTATCATTTTCCCACCCAAATCGGCATCAACTTTTGAAAGGATTTCTTTAGCTTTCTTGGAGACATTTTTGACTCATTACTCTCCCTCATTTTCCAGGCTTACAGCCACATATAAGAGCTCCTTAGACTTAAGTATGGCTTACCACTCTACTCTTAATACACATTAAAAACTAAAACAAAA